CCATCACTCTTCTATATCGATTATCGCCCTCCACTATTTCTTGTGATCTTGACTGGTCCTACTTCGAAGTATATTATTACCCATATCGCCGTAGTATCGACCGCTTGTATCGACCACTTACATTGTAATTTTTCGACTTTGGAAGGACATAGCAATTTCCTCTCCACTTCAAAAAGAAAATTTGAAAGAAAGAAGACAAAGGAAGAGAACAAGAAAGATTCGAACCGACAACAGTATGAATCTCATGCAACCCCTTGTACCACCCAGCCACTGTGCTGCAGATGCTGAACCCTGTTGTTCTTACAGTCTTGTACCCAAAATAGGCAACATCCTATGTACACTATAGTACAAATGCTATACTAAAAACTAAAAAAGGTTAAAATAGCTCCTAAAGGATCAAATTGTGGAGTTATGGCAAAGGAATCGTGATAAATAGGATATTGACCTCGACTTCGGTTTATGTTTCCCATATACATGTAGGCCCCGTCTTGGTCAATATCTTATACGTAGTAGTCGAGAATACAATGTACATGACATAGTTGTACTGTCTTGTACTTATAGTCAGGAACACTGTGTTCCTCATGATTTATACGACCTACTTCCGAAGGGATGTCAATTGAGTGATAATCCTATCCTTTCAATGTTCTTACATCTTTCCTTTTCCACCAGGCCTCCTCCTTGGGTTCCCATTTTCTCTCTAGCTACTCTCTTGTACCTTCTTGCTATTATTCACTCATGTGGGGCTTTGGATAAATCGTGGATTACTCAGGAATGATACAGGCAGTAGCGGTAGCACAAGGCGGACGGCGCAGTGTTATGGAATATAGTCGCGAATGGTTGCAGTCAGGAACACTGTTTTCCACTTACATGTACATGTCATGTACATGATAACACAGACAGTCAGTGTGTCCTCCGACTCCTCCGCCATGTGCTATGCTGTCACCATCATCATACAATTATGTACCTGCCACTTGATTTGTGGTGCTTACTAGTCCTTGAACCCCATAGCCGCATGGGTCATTGCTGATTAGCCTTTCAGTGTACATTGTAGCTGTCGTCACTGTTGTTGTGACTAGAGTCTAGACTCTCTTAGTTCCACAACATAACTAACTTCATAAGGACTGGGATTAATTCTCATTCAGTACTACATGACTTACTCTAATCTCTAATCATCAAGAAGCTAGGTAAAACCATAAAAGCCATCAAAACAAACAAAAGGGCTAATGCTACGTGGACGATAACGTCACACAAACATACACGTGATATTATGTACAACTTCGTGATGTAATCACGACATTCCCACACACAGGTGGAGAGATCAATCACAAAAGACCTGGTGACCAAAGGGAGAAAGATTATAATAGCGCATAAGAACCGTGTATTTAGGTGATTATTATTATTTGGGTATTGTTAATGTTAACTAGGGCAGTCCCCACAGACGCATGTCTCCTGACAGGCTACGCTAATGATGTGACATATCTTGTGAACCAAATTGCGAAGGTACTGAAGAGCAAGGACACATAAGTCATGGAGCCATACTACACCCTAGTGCCAAAGTAGTGAGTGGGAGAGCAAGTTGGCAGAGGAAAAGAAAACTCGACTAAAAAGGGGGGTGAACATAATTATACAGCTTGAGTGGATGATAGCTGATTGAGACAGACACCAGCATGGTGAACTAAACCAAGTCTGCCTCGTGCAAATCCAGGACACGTCCTAAGCCTTCGATAGCAGCTCGTCTTACCGGTCGAGAAGCTGTTGCAGGGACGTGTGCGTCGTTGGTTACAGCGGGAGGCTGTGGTTCATTCGACGAGTGGTCAGCAGGTCGAGCAGACTCACACTCCAACGGATATAGGTGCTGTAGTGAGCGCCGTAGGAGCTTGTTATTGGGCGTCCTCACAGTGGCGGAACGCGTTTCTCCATCACGACTAGCGTGAAGTTCGCTGATGATACCCAGTTTCCACATACCTCTGGGCGCGTCATCCTTGATGAGGCACACATGTCCAATCCTTGGCTTCACGGTAGAATGAGCAACCTGTTTCAACTGCGATTGTTGCCGTTCTCGTAGACTGGTTAGGTATTCAGATCTCCAACAGTTCCAAAACTCATTCAATCGCTTCTGACCTTTCTTCCACGTAGAAAGTAGCAGTTCCGCTGACGACATTGTTGGGGCGAAATCAGGGTCCTCTTCTACATGCCCTTGGGGTAGACTGATTTCGGCTGATAATGATAAGAAGTGGGCAGGTGTCAAGACCGTATAGATCTCATCGCTTACGTACACCAGCGGTCGTGAATTTACTACTGCTTCAACTTCGACGAGAATGGTTGACAGCTCCGTTGTTCCGAGAACTAGTCTGCCAATAGACTTACGGAGGGCTTTCTTCACGATTCCAATCAACCGTTCATAGAACCCGCCCATCCATGGGGAGAGTTGCACAATGCAAATCCATTCGATTCCATGGGAAGCAGCATAATTAAGAGTGTGGTCATCCTTCACAATGGCTTCCCAAGCAAGCTGTAGAGTCGATTTCGAAAGCAGGAATTGCTGAGCGTTGTCAGAGAAGATCTTGCGCGGTACTCCTCTTCTTGCCACAAATCTGCGCAATGCCATCAGGAACTGTTCTGTGGTCATGTCAGCAACAAGCTCGAGGTGGATGGCACGTGTGACCATGCACGTAAATAGGCACACCCATACCTTGTGGATGAGTCCATGTTCTCTGACTGTCATTGGGCCAAAGTAGTCGACGCCGACGTGTGTGAACGGTTTAGACTCAGCTACGCGCTCTGGAGGGTAGGGTGCCATTTTTGGTAGCGAGTACGGCCGACCATTGAACCTCTTGCATACACCACATTTCTTGAGTACAGTCTTGACGGTTTGTCGTCCTCTGGAGACCCAATAGTCATACCTGACTCGCGATAGGGTATGGTTAGTTCCACTGTGCAGCACCATGCGGTGACAGTCATTGATGATAGCTGTGGTTACTGGATGTGAACGAGGTAGAAGGATGGGATACTTCGCTGAGTATGGCAGGGATGAATTCTCCAATCGACCCTTGCAGCGGATGAGGTTATGTTCATCTAGAAAGAGCGCAAGGTTTTGGACCAGCTTGTTCTTGGCGTTGCTTTTGATAGCCTCAATCTCCGGTGTATAGTGTGTTGCTTGAACATGTTGAATCCACAGATGTTTGGCGTTGTCGATTTCAGCAGCAGACAAATGAGTGCCGCATGTGGTCTGTTGACGGCATCTCTTGACAAACTTGATACCGTATGCTGTTACACGGGCTAGCTTCTCAAACGAAGTATACTTGCTCTCATCTATACTCAGCGGTGATGGCTTGCTGCTGGTCTCGGTTTCCGCAGGACCCTCCGCCGCGAATAGTACTGTGGAAGGAGCATCGATGACGTCTTTGGGCCAGTGTACAGGAGGATCTCGAAGCCATTCTGGACCACACCACCAAGCTGTACTGTCTGTCAGTGTGGCTAGCGATGCTCCACGGGATGGTAGGTCGGCTGGGTTGTCGGCTGTACGGATATAGTTGAAGCACACACTCTGGTCTGCACGGATTTCCTTCAACCGATTGGCGATGAAGACAGGGTACGATTTCTCAGTATTCTTAATCCAGCCAAGCACGCACTGTGAGTCAGACCACAGGTGGGTAGCTGAGATGTGAACTGCGCCCAGAAGCTCTTTCTTCAGAAATTTGATGATCCTGGCGCCGATGAGTGCTGCTAGGAGCTCTAGACGTGGTATACTTGTTGCCTTGATGGGCGAGACTCGTGTTCGGCTGTAGATCAGGTCAACTGACGAATAGGCACCGTCAACTTGTCTCACACACAGGTACGCGGCTGCACCGTAACCATCTTGAGACGCATCACAGAAGACGTGGAGTTCATAGGTGACCTTGTCGACGTGGATTTTTGGTCCAATGAAGCGAGGAATGGCAACGTCACTTGCGCAGGACAGATCGGACAGGATATCCTTCCATTCATGAACGAGAGCGTCAGGCAGCGGAGAGTCCCAGTCTACATGTAGCTTCCATATACTCTGTACTAGGATCTTCGCACGCATGATGACCGGGGAGAACAGGCCCATCGGATCATAGAATTGGGCTATGCTGCGGAGGACATCTCTTTTGGTAATGACGGAGTACTGGTTTGTGGTTGACTTTGCCGTCGACAGAGTATCGCGATTGGTATCCCATGACATACCCAGTACCTTCATTACATCACAGCTAGACTTGTCTTCAGGAGCTAGAGCATCTCTGAAGTCAGGATCGTTGGTACCCCATTCACGCAAGTTCATGGTGGCACTGGCAAAGGCGTCCTTTGCCTCTCTGTAGTATGCAGTAGCATCCTGGACGCTGCTCTGCCCGGTGACAACGTTGTCAACATAGATACTGCGACGCACATCATCGCATGTCCCTGTCTGTTGCTGTTGGAGATGGTGGTCGACTGTGGCGGCAAGAAGAAACGGGCTAGCGACAATGCCAAATGGAACTCGGCAAAAGCGGTAGATCACTAGGTTGGCTGTGGTGACGGGTTTTGTAGGATCGCGAAGCCATAGGAACCGTGTTACATTGCGATCTGTCATAGATAGACCTAGCTGAAGGAAGGCCTTCTCAACATCGCTGACAATGCCAATGGGGTGTAGCCGAAATCTCACCAGGATACCACACAGATCCGGCAGAAGTATCGGACCTCGGTGCAGGCAGTCGTTCAGGCTGTTGTGTTCTGCGCGAGTTCTGGCGGAAGCATCATATACCACACGGACCTTTGTTGTGGTACTGCTGGGGCGAACAACACAGTGGTGGGGGATGTAGTGAATCGGCCCATCCTGGTGATCAAGGTTCACTTCCTCGATAATGCCATTGGCTAACTGCTCTGTGATGGTACAATGATACTTCTCTAGCACTTGTGGTGTCTGCTGGAGTCGTTTGACTAAGGATTTGAGACGGCCGAAGGCGAGCTCGTAGTTCTCTGGTAGATTAGGTTGTGGAGTATGGCTATCTTTCCATGGCCAAGATACCATTATATCGGCCGTTGATCAGTTGCAAGGAGCTGCGAAAGTGTTCCAGGGCAATGTCGTCCGCTGTCTGCGGATCACTGATGTCATCGGTGATACCAATATCTTCAAGTCGCCAGAAACGTTGGAGATCAAATACTGGGTCTGGCAAGGTGGTAGCATCTGTGAGCATTATGTGGCCCGCAGTGTCATCTGTCTCTGTGTCAGTAGGGCCTGCTGGGACAAATCCCAATTTGGAGTTCAGCAAGACCAGGCCGTTGTTGAGTTGGATGTGACCGTTACCCATGATGGAGAAGTAGAAATCCGTGCCGATAAGGAGGTCAATTTCTACCTCCTCACGCTTGGTGACAATGGTGTCAGCTAGTTGGATGTTCTTGACTTCAGGGTACTGGCCGATGTCGATTGGGGATTTGACAACAGGACAACAAATCCACGGCATAACATTGGCGGTTACGGGCAAGGCTGATCCATCTCGACATAGGAGGGAAAACTCCACTCTCGGCAGGGTGACCGTTCGCCGGGACGCAGATCCAAAACTAGCGATGGACAACACGTCTTCACCGACAACAGCTGCGTTGACAGAGGCAGCTAACGATTCATGAATAAATGTGCGAGTTGAGCCGGTGTCAAACAACAGTCGGCAGTCTGAGATGTTGCCTTGCCCGGCGACAGTTGCGATGGCGGTTGGGAGATTCACACCTTTGGACTGGACGTGCACCGTAGCGGTAGTATGTTTCTGTGGCCCTTGCTGCTGCTGAGTAGGATAGAAGGTACTTGCGGCAGCTGACACTGGTGATGAGCCAAATTTCTGAGGGCACAGGGCACGGTGATGGGTCAACAGATTGCAGTGATAGCAGGGTCTTCTAGCAGTACAGTCCTTTGCCCAATGTCCCTTCCGTAAGCATACAAAGCAGTGGTCTTGTAGCTGCTGCTGTCTGGTAGAAACCGTGTTGAACGTTGGGCAGGTGTCCGAGAAGTGTTGCAACTTGCAGAAGAAGCATCTCGGAGTGGCGCGCCGCACAGAGCTAACTAACGTGGCTGCCGTGGCCGGAGGTTGGGAGTAGGCAGCATGAGGCTGTGCGGAAACAGGCGGTGGTCGTGGCAGAGTGCTCTCTGGTTTGCTGGCTGTGTCTCCTGCCAGTCGCTCGGCCGATTCACGGACCTCCAGGTAGATTCCCAGCTGTTTCCGCAGCTCATCAACAGTCCAACTCTGATTGTGGGGTTTCTGTGTCTCAAGTTGTACGATGACGCACTTTGGTAACTTGGAAGTGATGACAGGAATCAGCAGTTCCTGTTGCACACTTTGACCTTCCGCTTGCAAACAGCGCAAATTAGCCTCCACCTCGTTGTAAAATCTCCGCAACATGTGAGGTTTATTTGATGGCACTGGCATTTCGGTAATTGCGCGGTATCGGGCTGCGATGATGGCATCCTTCTTGCCAAAGCGATCCTTCAATAATCCTAACGCCACGGGGTAATTTGAATCGGTGGTGGGAATACCGGCAATAACATCCAGGGCCATGCCTGTCAAATGACTTCTCAAATACGACAGTTTCTGTACGGCAGACAGGCTTTGATTTGTACCGATCGCAGATTGAAACATGTCAATGAACTCAGTGAAATGAAGTATGTCACCATCAAACTTCCTGATTGTGAGCACGGGCAATTTCACAGATCCATGAGCACTCTGTGCAGGCTGTGCCGAGTTGGCCGCCAGCTGGCCAACCGTGCTGGTGTGCTTCCCAATGGCTGACAGCAACTGCTGTGTTTGTTGCTGAGTTGCGGTGTGCATTGTCAGCAGCTGCTGGACGTCAATTCCAGGTGCTTGACTGCTGGTACTGGTGTTCTGGGCACTGGCGCTGGCTGTGGCTCTTTTGGCTTGAGCACTCAGCAGGGACAGATTTTTGAAGTACGACGGTAACGTACTGGCCATATTTTCATACTCTTCTTCATCTTCTTTCTTTTTCTTTTTTTGAGTTGCTCCACTAGCCACGAAATCGTATAACGCAGCGCCGTACTTATCTAGGTCAGCATCCAACTTCGTGAGGGCATCTCTATGCTGTTCACAAAACTGGGTCCGAATCCCGACCCACTGGTCTGCGTCGTCAGATGGACAACTTTCTGAAACTAAACGTTGGCACTTCGTATCGTCATCGTGGACAGTAGAATACAATGCACTAATTTTATTTGCTAAAACTCGGAGACTCCCTGGATACTCGGACATGGTTTCGGCACCAATTTATGTTGTGACTAGAGTCTAGACTCTCTTAGTTCCACAACATAACTAACTTCATAAGGACTGGGATTAATTCTCATTCAGTACTACATGACTTACTCTAATCTCTAATCATCAAGAAGCTAGGTAAAACCATAAAACTTAAAAGCCATCAAAACAAACAAAAGGGCTAATGCTACGTGGACGATAACGTCACACAAACATACACGTGATATTATGTACAACTTCGTGATGTAATCACGACAACTGTTGTCGTGCCCTGAGTGCCCCATAGAGGCGTACAAAGACTGAGGAGAAAGAAGGAGGAAGGCCAGTTGTTTGGCGGATGATGCGGGCAGAAAATGTGCCAGAATTTGGCACTAGTACTTTCTCTGCGGGCATGTTTCATGCATATTTGGTATGTGGATGGAGCAGAATTCAAGGAAGTGCTTGCGATAAGGTTTGTATGGTTCTACCGATTTCACTGCTTTTCGAGCAGCATCTGCCAATTTTCCGAGCATTATCTGCCAAGCGCTACTCCGGAGAGGTGTACAAAGAAGAAGAAGAAGGACAGTGACGGGGAAGGCCAGTTGAGTGCCGTGTGCGATATGTTGGTACATGTCATAATTGTAGACGTTGGTCATTGTTCGTCCCAATAATTGCTGGCTACTCAACGTTGTGCTCTGGGTGTGCTGAGGAGTCCTGTATGTCGGCGAGACCAGGAGAAATATTCGTACTGAGCTTTTTGAGGAGCATTGTAGAGAGGCTGGAGCAGAGGCACTAGATGGCATGCACCGTGGGGAGAACGCTACGCACAGCACCATCACAGCTACTGAAGTAATAGTTAGACCAACACGGCAGTACCCGTCACTATTGTTTCTTGCCACCCAGTCATCCGGGCCCTTCACTTCAGGCTCGTCTTTTACATAATAGTCGTTGTACAAACAATAAGAGGACGGAAAAGTGTCACTGTTTCCGTCCTCTTGTTGTTTGAACTAGCTCTGCCTCTCGGTATTGAGCACTCTCTTGGACAGCTTGGAACCTCTCTGTTTTATTAGTCATTGTACTTCGCGTCTGGGAAGTAATACTTGTTCACGATAGGTGTTCTTCTGTGAACACCAGGGGTTAGTCTGTGGATGGGCCGGGGGGGGGGGGGGGGGGGATTTGGACGAGGGCTTTAGCCTTAGCCTATGCCATGGATAGCTAGGATAGGCTTAGGAAGTTAGGTGTGAAGTGTAGAGTTGCTTATGAAGTTATGGTGGGCATTTTCGCACACGGGTCAATCCGGTATTCTGCGTGACTTACTGAACCTCTTTGTCATCCATTTACTAGTATTATTTAGGTCTCACCCTGGTGGTGAAGATCCAGGCCCGAATATTTGGTGAATTGTATAACACCCAGTTGTTTGGAATGAAGAGATGGCGTTTGGGAGAGACTGAAAGAGAGTTACGAATGATGTGTCAGTGGCTGAGATGGAGGCCCTAGTAACGAGCAACTACTTGAAAAGGTACTGTGTCTTAGGTCAAATAACTGGTATAGCATGATTCATAGTTCTTGGACTTCTATTTTATTTTTAAATGAAGAAAGCTGATGCTGCGTCGTACTATGCCATTATGTATTCCAAAAGAGGCTTCGTAGAAGGCTGTTAAATATGGCGAAGGAGGCTGCCTGCCGGCACTCCGCAAGAAGATAATTCCACCGGTGACCCATCATCGGCCAGATAGGGCAAAGCATAGAAACCGTGTCTTGAAGAACCACTAGGTAGGGCTAAAGCGAGGATGGTCTGTACCCTGGTCAAGGCTTCAGTGTGGTTACTATTGGATCTGCGAACAAAAACCTCTACAACCAGGCGGCTGCGGCGGCCATGCACACATTCATCAGTAAACAGGGCGAACAATTTAAAAAAATGCCATCCGGTATATAACCTTGAGAGGTTATACGGGGTGGTGACAGGAATGATTTGTTGGCAGTGACAAATGGTAGCCAATGGGTGGCATGGTGAGTAGCCAAATGTTATCCTGAGAGTGTGAGTGAAACAATGAATGAGAATTGTTGTGCAAGGTTACTGACATGGCATGCACGTAGCAGTTACTAGAGTATTCCACAAGGAACTGAATGATGCTGAGGTAGAGCGAACGCTGCAACCGGACAATGAAGTCACTGAGGTGATGTCGTGTCCTGCAGTATGCGGCCAGCGTGTGGTTGACATCAGTAACATAGCCGCTCTGAACCTACCCAGAGCTACGTCTCGTTACGGCCTGAATGCTATTTCATTTTTGGCAGCAGACAGATGGAACATGTTTCCACCTGGATGTCGTCAAGCTAAGCCCCTTTCTGCATTTGTCACAAGCACCAAGTCATTCCTAGGGTTCCCAGTAAAAAGGCAACGCCTGTTGGGAGTTCCCTAGTAAAAAAATAAATTCTACTACTCTACTACTACAACCTTCCCAACGTGCTCCTTGAAGGCGAGATGCTGGTCGCCTAGCACTCTGAGGTAACTGACTAGGCTTTCCCCAAATCGGCCCGTTTTTTCGCCTATTCGGCTTTTCGCTTAGCTGAAAATTACATCAGATTTGGCTGCAAAATCAGCTAATTGTTTGAAAATCGGCTGCAAAATTGGAATGATTTTCCAATAATTATATTATATTGGAAAATCGGCTAAAATAATTGTTGGCACATTGGCTTCAAAATTGGTGAGATATTGGAAATACAGCTCTGCTAGATGGAACTCGTCACAACTGTACGTTGTAGTGTAGTATTTTACAAGTTACGATCTTCCTAATGGCTAATGTTTGTTTGAGAGGAGGTCGAAGGACACGACTCACACGAGTCACACGACCTCAACGCACTAGTACTACAAGTTCTGAAGTAGAGAACTCGAGCGATCATGCTTGCAGCAACATCATTCGTTCGTAAATGCACTTTGCAACAAAATTTGGTAGATTCTCGGCGATTCTCAAAGTAACCCTCCACAATCGGCGAAAATCTTAGCGATTTTTCGCTAAAGTCTTCTTTTCGGCGAATTTTTCGGCTGGCCGATTTGGGGAAAGCCTATAACTGACACACTGGGAAGGGCACACAGGGACACAGTGGACGCTGGTGGGACTGGGCTGGTCTTCTGGTGGACGATAATTTAGTTGCATCTTGTCGGGGGTTCAGTTGGCTGCCCAGTTCTGTGAGATGCAGTTGCACCACAGTGAAGCTCTCTGATAGGCGGTTCTGGATTGTATTGATGCCACTGATCCATGTGTAGAGTCCAAAGTTGTTGGCGTGGAGTATGTTCGATGTGTGAGTTGGTGTAATGTCAGTTACGTGTCTTGTGTTTATTGTGTCTATTGTGCATAGAAAGGGGTCCAGGACAGAGCCCCAAGGTACCCCCAACTACAGGTCACAGAGTCAGGGGGGACACAGGTGCACACTTTTATATATCGGGAAAGGAACCAAGGGAGAGCGATTATTTTAAAGTGAGACAGAGAGGGAACAGCTAGTTCTTCGGCACATATTTTCAGGGGAAGGCATGGACATTCGTGGTGTAAAGCAGACCTGTGCTTTCCTGATCACTCTGCAAACATCAAGCTCCTATTCATGGTAGGGGGTCGATGACTGCAGAGTCATCGAGACGTTCATAGAGCAAACAAACTCATGCCTGGCGCCCATCCCGATTTGGCCGGGATCGTCCAGATATCGAGGGCGGTAATATGCACCCAAAAGTGCATTTGTCGCTTGCTTCATGGCTACATTTGTACACATTCTCATACCTAGGTATGTCATTGCCCCGATCTCAGGTTTGTATTGGTTAGCAGGTATGTAAACCGTTCCAATGGTGATGAGGGTATCTACATGTACACGACTTTTTAGTTTTACAGCATATTACAAGGTGGTTCAACACGTGTTCGGAAACAGTGCGCCGTACTACAACCATCCACGGTTTCCGAACACGGTGTTCCACCACCTCGCAACGTTAGTATGCTGTCAAACTAAAAAGCGCGTTTCTATAATACAAGGTTTATCTAATGTACATGACTGTACATTATGACAGCGAACATTATTGTATTTTTCATGGTTATAGGATCGTGAAAAAAAGTTTTCAAGTAAAATATGTTTGTCATGAGACACCGTGGCATTTGTACACAGCCCTACAGAGATAACCAGGTCATGGACCTTAGGGTCCAGCGGATAATGCTCCGAAAACGTTCGTATAATGCTTATCATAATGCTCCAAAAAACTACCTTGCAATGCTGATTATAATGCTTCAACAAGGGCTATAATGCTCTTGGTTTGGAACAAAAATGGAAGAAAGGCTGCACATTGTCAAACTTCCAGGAAATTATGCATATCGTCGATCTGCCGCTGAAGCTGCTACAATATCTCTCACGAGCTCCATCACGTCTTAGCACTATAAGACATGATGGAGTCTCCATTGGCTGCTCTCCATTGCAACTTTGATGCAGGGCTGTGGCTGAATAGTGGGTGCATCAAATCCTTTCCCTTGCTTATCCATGTAGTGAGAGGTGAAATCATTATTGCTGGTGATCATTTGGATGCTGGAAGCGTATCATGGGAAATGGTTTTCCTTCCTGAGACAAGCTGTCACTGCTTCCACTCTGCGAAAAATGTCTTCATCTGAAACAGCTCACGTGAGGCCAGTCGAGAGACGATCTCAGATCGAGATCCCTCCCATTTGCGGAAATCCTGAAAACACGTGGCCAGAAGTTAT